TGGCTAAAGGTTCATGACAGAGCACTAGCTTCGTTATTATTCTCAACGTGGAAAAATCTTGAAACTCCAGAATCAACTGTTTCTGTTTGTTCAATTTAAGAATAATTTGGACTCTCATGGTTATGCCACAAGACATGCACTTGAAGGACGATTTGAAATTTCTAGGGCGAAAACTAATTTTCTCAAATGCACCTTTACTTTCAGAGCAATGAAAGAATGGAACTCATCAACTAATTCTCATAAAAATTGTACATAAGTCTGCTTTTAAAATACAACTTAAGAAGTTTTTAGGAGCAACTTATCTATAAATGAAATAGTTTCATATTCTAATTTATTGTAACTTATTCATAAAATGTTACAATTTTAAATTCTAACTTTCCCATTTTCTATGAATGTTTAATCTTATTGATATGTATATGATATTTGTCATCTGTCAAACATGTTCATGAATTTACATTGTATACTGTATTTTAATGATGTGGACCCCAGGAAGAGTAGCTGGGTGTAAAGCATAGCTAATGTGGATCCTAATAATAAATAAACAAATCAACACCAACCAGCCCATCTTTTCCTTTAACATGTTTAGAAAGGCATCAGAACAATAAATGACAGTAAATGTCTCAGGTGCTTCTTATCTTTCAATTTTACTCATAAAACATTTTTCACTGTTATGTTTTTTCCCCAGAATAAAAAAGCATGAAAAGAACCTTTGCTCATCATAATCAATCGATATAACTATCTTAGAAACATGCTTTAAATGTTCGGCAACAACTCAGGGCTCAGAAAGCCCCGCAGCCATGTTCACGTCTGGAATAAATTTAGTCCAACCTCCCCCTCACCTGGCCTGGAGCAACCGTGGGAGAGCATTTTTAGAGCAGTGTGCAACCTGACTTCTTTTTTGTCTTCCTCTTTTCCATCGGCGTTTTCCTGTTGATCTGCCGCACCAGATCATAGAAAATCTGAAACAGAGATTTTTATTTATTTATTTACATCCATCAAGCATTTTGGGCAACATGGAAAGAAATCAAAGATCCTGGATTGAATTATTAAAAAGTATCCAAACATGTATTCAATATTTTTAAGGTGAAATGCATAATTAAGTGAACGTGCGTAAACAAAAGCTTCCTTTAAGTTAATTTAGATTTTACCTCATTAACATTGATCTTTGATTTAGCTGAAGTCTCTAAAAAGGCACAGTTGTTCCACTGACGAGCCAGGTTCTGACCCTGCTCCTTGCCGACCACACGCTCGTCCTCCAGGTCACACTTGTTCCCCACCAGGATCATCGGAACCTGATGGATCAAACGGTAAAAAACACACGCTTTTATTTACTCAGCATTTTCAGGATTGGTTCGTTGATGAGTGAGATCAAAGGGAAAGTTAGTTTCTGTACCCATGACTTCCCAAGCTCTAAAACCGAGTTATAAAAAGAAATAAAAAGTAGCCCACTGAGTAAAGAAGTGACCTTTGCTGCTAAATCAGAGTATAAAGTCCAGCTTTATGGATGTTATCATGTCAAAGTTACTTTTTAAAGAATTTTCCTCATTTTCAATCAGATTTTAAGAGCTGAACAAAAACCTCTGATGCAGGAGCTTCTGGCTAGTTTACAGTTTTTATTTTACTCTGACATTAAAGCCCTGTGGAGAGACGTTCCCATGTTCTTCTCGATTTCTTCCACTCTGATGGAATTTTTCCTAATGGGAGACAGACACAGGTGCTTTCAGATGCTGAAATGTATGTTGTGCAGCCGTTACAATCAATCACACACAAACACAGAATTAGAGTAAAGCGACATTTAAAATGTCGTACAGCAGCGGTTCCTAAGGTCTGATGCCAACCCAGAGGGGCGACATCAACAGTGATGTAGGAGACAATTATTGATTCAACTTGTGAGGGAATATTATCACTATGTCGCTTTAAAATAGTGACTGGAGCAGATTTTAGGAAAGAGACGTTTGTTTACAAAAGACCAGATTGACCTCCAGAAATGATCATGATTCCTCATTAAATAAAGAGCTGAAAAACAATCCTGAGCGTCGTCTTCCTGTTACATCATAAACAGTAGTTTATACCCTCAGTCATATGATTCTACAGAACCGCTGTAATGCTGACCACTACTGAAGATCCTTCCTGTCCTCCACCATTACAATCTATAATGATTCGTTTCCTTTAAGATTGTTTAGCATCTTGACACTTATTATTGCAGCAACAGTCCTTTAGGAAATGAAAAGATGGATACTTATTAAGAGTTTAACATTAAACCAGCTTTCTAAAATGAGTAATCCTACCAGTGCAAACACTGTCAAGGAGGAGATGATTCTTAGCTAATCGGCTATTTAACTGACCAATAATTCATTTTAAGATGCTTTTAATCCCAAAACCACCAAAGAACATTTCTGATACTGATGAAATATGATAAGTTAATATGTCATTATTTTGGAAACAATATTTACCAGAAATAATTACATATAAACAACATTTTAAAGAGCTTTGCCAAGCTTTAACTGGTCCAAATGAAATGGAGGTATTTTTCCTATTAGACGTATAACATTTTATATATGACTGATAAGTTATGCTACGTTTTTTTTCTGCATGACCAGATGGAACCGGGCTCCTATAGGACTATAAATATTGCTGTATTCTGTTCTCTGTAAACAGAGAAAGTTTTAGGTCAGACTTTTAAAGCTACTTTATGCAAAGTACAAGATAAGCTATGGAAGCCAAGAGTTTGATGACTGTGGAGAACATTTCTGTGTGTGCGGTTCTGGTTCCAGCTTTTATCCACATATTGTACTTGTTTAACTATTTGAACAATACGCACCGCTCTCCTCTCTCAAATGAAAGTGAAAGCAACACAAACCATCCAATCTGATTGTTAGAAATATCACTTTCTATTAGAACCTGAGTCTATCCCTGGGATCCTCGTGCCACTGCTGCAGTTGGACGCAGCCAATCTGGCCAATGAGCGCGGCTCCACCCAGTGAACCGAGGAGCGTCCTTGAAGCATCTCAGAATCGTGTGTGACTGTGGCTGGTTTATTTTTCCCACTTGACACTTCAAGTCCTCATCATCTGGAGTAGAGTGGATATTCAGAAGGGAAGTAAGTTGCTAAACATTAAGTGGATCCAGTGGCTTTTCAAATGTAAACCCTACGTGGGTCGCAGTTCAGTCTAAAACATCAAAACATTACCTGCAGCTCCAACACAGAGCCACCAGAGAACCTCGCTGCATAAGACACCATGGACCAAGAGATGTTTACTTTGGAGGTAAAAAAAGTACAACATTTTAAATGAAAACTCATTGGTTTTAATAGATCAAAAAAGAAAAGCCACGGGCTGAGAGTTAAGGTGACCAGATAAAGAGAAGGCATGCGTAACATCGTTCATACTGGCCAAAAGGCCATTTTAATGTTCTATTTAAAGCCTACATGCAGGGTCCGAAATTAACTTTTCGACTCGAGCCAAATAGAGCGGAAGACAAAATAATTTACCGACTAAGCATTATTTTTTACAGGCAAGAAAACAAATATACTTCCTCTCAAATATATTTAAGGAACATATAATTTCTACCATAACGCAGCTGGATGGACTACTGTAGAGACAGTAGAGGAAGGAAGCAGGAGTTCACTGCAGTCTTTCCCTTTTAACTTTTCTCAGAGCACCATAAAGGTAAGTAAAAGTTAAATAACAGCACAGAACTAGTCTTTGACTAAATTTAGTTATTTTACTTTTCTGAAAACATTCATAAAGTATGTTAAATAAGGATGCAAATTATCAATGAATGAATTAAGTTAATTAATCTTATCAATCAAATAATAAATAGGCTAAATTAATCAGAATAACCCAATTATTAAAATAATCGTCAACTAAATTATTGATCGATTAATTGTTAACTAGTATAGACTAAAACATGCCTTTAGCTGATAGAGCGACCCACTTAGAGCAGTAACTATACCAATTGTAAACAATATTATAAATATTTTGCATTTAAGATAAAAGAAAAACCTTTTCCTGTCAATATGCTCTATCCAGTTTAACCTGGTTTCATTCTGTAAAAAAAAAACTTTAAGGAAACTTTTGATATCCAATTATTAAACAATTAATCTAAAAAAAATAAAAAAGTAGAATAATCGATTAGCTAAATAATCATTGTTTGCAACCCTGCAAATAACGATTAATAGATAAGCATCCGTGTTCTTGAAAACCTGTTTTCTCTCATATCAAGAGGATCTTTCCAAGGCGAAATATTATTTATACAAAATGCTGAGTTAAAGAAAAACAAAATAGTGCATATAATATATTTTTAACTAATGTGTTAAACACTGACTAAACTAAGACATTTTCTATACATGATGAAACATATTAATAAGATAAAAAAACTGGGAAAAAATACAAATAAAATATGTGGAACAACAACTATTCACAATGAACAGAAATACAAATCATAGGCAGAGACAGGGGATATCTACAAGACTGTTTAATTCCTTTAAAAAAATGGACGGTAGCTGTGATTTCTTTCTTTTTTTATATTCCAACAATCTGGTAGGAGAAATTTTGTGGTTACTGGCTTGTGAACAGGTTGTTCTGGTTGCTCTTAGAAGAGTCTTAAAACTCAACACAATGAAGAGCGTTAAATCAAAAACGGCTTCCTAATCCAATGTGCTTGTTGCTATTCTTCTTTCATGTAGCAAATTTTCTGTGTAATGCCCGCTACCGTTTTATCATCAAATCCTCGCATTTTAAGAACAGCAGAGAAATTAAGAATTCTCCATCATGCAACACGGCTATAAAGGCACAGCTTAGACGACAACGAGTTTATCGCATAATATACCTTCTACATCCTGGATGCCATTCAAGAGTAAAAAATCCCAGACCGGCTCCTGAAATGACTGAGGTTTCTGTTCTAGCATGCCTCCGCTGTAGCATTACCTTCTTTGCTAATAAGAGTGAGGCTCTGCATATTATTGAACACCGGCGACCTCCAATAATACTACAACTCTGAAAGAAATTCCTTTTATGCAGAGGGTATCATTTATCGAATGGAAAAATATTCATCTAATAAACTATAAATGGACAATTAATCTTAATTGGAGTACTTTTGTTTACATCCCTAATGTTAAATGTAGTTGCATTAAGAACAAAGTATCAGTGAATACCTTCCAGTCAAAACCTCTGACTCACTATTTTATTTAAAATCTGGTAAAATTATAAAGCAGTTCTAATAGAAAGAGAGAATGAGAGACAAAAGAAACTCCAGATAAAATGAGCTTAAAATGGCCGGATTATCAATGTCAAAGAAAAATATGACACATTATTTGTATAGCCTCCTATATTCTCACAAAAAACATCAAATTTAGAAAGTAAATTAAGTTCAGTGTTTAGTTTGTGAGATTATTCCAGTTCTAATATTTGAGAACCAAATATAGAAACGGTTCTCGGTTAGAATAAAAAATATTTGTGCGTTGTTTGTTTCTTTTTTTTTTTTTTGTTTTGTTTGTTTTTGTGATGTTTGTGTGACGTAAATATGGAGTCTTTTTGTTTTGTTTTGTATGCCCTGGACGGAATGTCTGTTGGNTTGTTTGTTTTTGTGATGTTTGTGTGACGTAAATATGGAGTCTTTTTGTTTTGTTTTGTATGCCCTGGACGGAATGTCTGTTGGTTTAATATAAAAAACTAATAAAAACAATTTGATTATTATTAAAAATATTTGTGCGTTGATTTTTTTTGTTTTTTTGTGATGTTTGTGTGACGTAAATATGGAGTCTTTTTGTTTTGTTTTGTATGCCCTGGACGGGATGTCTGTTAGTTTAATATGAAAAACTAATAAAAACTATTTGATCATTGATTAAAAATATTTGTGCGTTAATCAAGCTTTCATATGGTAGTGCAAGAATGGGTGATTAATAAGTGTGAGATTTTATAAAAATACTGTATGAATGCAATTAACTTACTGCTAAAAATAATGTAATGGAATGACGTGATAAATAGGATACCATAATACTGAATTTGAACAAAGCAAAGCTAAATTATTGCACCCGAGAAGTTCGGATCAAACACAAAAAAGGGTTTTCCACTTTAAAGATAAATTATGTTTTTGAACCATTTTGGCTTATTTGCTTGGATCTTCTTTCAGTTTTAGTGTGAACACTGCAGTTAAGGATTACTGGATTCATAAATTAGTTGAAAATTATTAGCTAATCAATAAAAACCATAGTTAATCCCAAAGCTTACTGGAAGTGAAGTTATGATTTTTTTTTTTTATTTAACTCATACTTGAACCTTATTCTGACATCGTAATTGTAGTGTAATATATTTCAATACTATAAGCTAGCTATCTAAATACATCATAACATGTAGATGAACTTAAATGACATCCTATTCTTTATCTAAAAGGTCTATTTTGCACATCAACCCCTGATTTAGCATTAGTAACTTTAACTGTTCTGTAAACCATAATGTTGGGGTCAGAATTTTTTCTATAGGGTTGTGGTCAGGCCAGTCAAGTCTTCCTGCATCAAACTTTACAAACCTGACAACATGAAAGTCATTTTAACATCCAAGTGTGTTTGTATGTCATCTGACCTAATGCTTTTGGCAACGCACTGTACAATAACCAGTGAGACAGGCTCCTGAACCTGAACCAAAGCAGAACACACCTGGGAATGACTCATAAAGGTTATTACTGTCAACATTTGCTTTCCTGAGAAATGCCTTGCTTTATGTTTTGAATGCTTGCAACTGTTGTCTCTTCCCTCATTTCTACGGGTCACAGTTGTCGAATGAATCTGAAAAAGAAAAGTCTGCAACATACAGCTGATCATATTTATATGAAAACTTAATTATACAGTTTCCTACTTCAAGCTCAAAAGTTAGATTAGATTCTTGGTACCTCTGTCTCATTTTTACGATACATGTTTAATCTCAAAACAAAATCAACACCAGGGGCAGGGCTACATCCCATAGTTAAAATGAAAGATAAATAGTAAATAATACATATATATAACTATTTAATGTTTGTTACATAGTGATGTAAATTATACATGTTAAATAAATGGTTTAGGGAAAAACCTGTAGCACTTGAAAACGCATTTTACCATTTCCTGGATACTCATTTTATATTAAAGATTCACAATATGTTAAATAAAGTTTTTTTTTTTATCTCTTAACACCTATATTAAGAGCATTTATTCTAAGCTGTACTTATTAATATTTGTTATATGGCAGAGCATATATATATTAACAATGTTTTTACAAAATCAGTCATTATGTAAATTGATAAATCAGTGTGAAGGTTGAGCAAAAATAGTGTTAGCTAGGATTGTAAATCATATTTTTTAGCTTCAGTCATGACAGAGGTGCTATTCGACCGGTACTAAATAAACGGAGAACAGATTCAGAACATTGCACATCCTTCCTCTAAAACAAGAGATGAAGCTACAAAGACTGAAAAAAGCAGATCGTATCTAACAGCTCTGACATTTCCTCCCCGTCATAGACCTTCAGCCCCCTCGCAGCAAACCTCCACAGCAGTCAGTCTAGTAAAGCGGGGGGGTGAACCTGAAGACAGAGTCTACCAGATCAGGCAAATGGAAATGTGAGCAGACATATTTTGATATCCAGGCATATGCGGGGATGTACCGAAGGTTATATAAAAACTAATACAACGGCAGAGCTCCTAGATCTACATGATTTGAATAAGAGATCTCAGAATTCACGCTTTAAACAAATCCAAAAAGTTAAGCTCCCAGATTCACATAATGCATTTAAACCTACAGAGCATTTAGGGTGCCTATTTCAAAAATAAGATACACTTACATCCTCTGTGTCCTTTACTCGCAGGATTTGTTCCCGCAGGTCCTGTAGGTCATTAAACGTTGACTGTGCTGTGATGGAGTACACCAAAGCAAAGCCTTGCCCGTTTTTCATGTACAGGTCCCTCATAGCTGTGAACTGTTCCTACAGAACGATGATCAAGGAGAGATGGCATCAGTGAACCAAAAAAAAACAAAAAAAACAAAAAAACATTTGCATCTAAACGCAGAGTTCGGCCAGGCTTACTGTTCCAGCGGTGTCCAGGATTTCCAGCATGCATTGCTGCCCGTCGACTTCAACTTGCTGTTGTATTAGAAAGGCAAGAATATTTTCATGAGATCAAAGGAACCGTTTATATAGCTAACCAAAAATGTATTTAAGGAGGCTTTAAAAGGTGATAGTTTAATATTATACCTTTCTATAAGAGTCTTCAATAGTGGGGTCATACTTCTCCACAAAAATGCCTTGAACAAATTGGACTGTCTGGAAACAACAGAGAAAAATAGAAAGTTAAGTAAATCACCAGCACTGTGCTAAATTAATAGTTAATATCTCAACAAAATCATATAATTTTTAAACTCTGAATAACATTTCAAATGAGTGTTAATTCAATAATTTGAACATAACCAACATAAAAAAAACATTAAGTAAAATTAAACTAAGGAAATTAATTAATTATTTTTTTCCAGAATGACTTACCAGTGCAGATTTTCCCACACCTCCTGATCCAAGCACGACTAGCTTGTACTCACGCATGGTGGGTGACCTTACTGGACAGCACAAGAGTCTGGAAAAAGATAAAGGAAAAGATGGATATTAGTTAGAGATGGAAAAAAAATTCCCCTGTCCTGTTTTTTTCCCCATAGACATAGAATGGAAACGTGGTACATGGGGAAACTAGGCTGTTCTGTGCTATAGAAAAAAATACAAACACATTTATGACATCCACATGAATGGCCAGTTTAATAAAATCCCAGAAATAGTCACTAATCAACTATAACTCAAATCATATAACTAAATATTACAGGTCACAATTGCTTTGGCCAAATTCAAGAATGTAATAAAATTGTTTGGAAAAGAAAATATCCACTGAAAATCCTTAAAAATGTAACTGGTGCTTTGATTGAATATCTTTGCCCATTATTCAAAAAGTCTAATGACAATAAATGTTTACACTTACAATCATATTCAAAACAAAAAAAGGAAAAAAAATATACAATAAATACAAGCATCAACCAAAATGTAGTTATTTTGAATCAAATAATTTGCTCTACATTTTAGTCCATTTACTACTTTGATGATCCTAAACATATACTTCAACCTAAAAAATATAATTAATTCCAGTCTACTTTAATACCTTCTGGATCAGTTAATCTAATTCAATTTTAAGGTGGCTGAACAAATCTCTTCTGTAAAAAGATTCAAGAGGTGAATAGCCTTATAAAACCAGAGTTAACCCTCTCCAGGCAGATGTTGCAGATTTGCAACAGCTAAATGCCACTTAGCTAATTACTCCAATTCCATATTTTAAGAGCTTTCGTTACTCAGAAGTACAACAGAAGGACTTAGTTGTACATTTGCAACAAACAGTTTCTCTCCAGCTCACCAGATAGCACTGCTGACTCACTTTCAACATGGCTGAGTCCTTGGTGTCACTG